TCGAAACTCTCGCGTGAAATCAGCTGGGAGAACAATAGATAACGATTACGTCGACGGGTGCCGAACGAACGGGTGTGGATTAGGTACGAAGACGATTGCGATTTTTTAAGCCGATTCCGGTTCTATCTCACGTGATCCACATCCACGATTATGCAGAATTCGGTTGTGGAAATTGTTCGCCTCCAATATCTGTTATATCAAAATCGATTGTGCGATATGATTTAAATTCAGGTGAATCCAATTTGATCTATTAAAATAGAATTTCGTCGGAGTTATTACTAAAATCGAATTTTGTTTGAATATTGGACTTAGAATTTACAATATTAAAGTTATATTAAACTCAGAATAAACTATTATCCGCTTAAATTAAAAGATAAATAAAAAGCGATGATATAGAATAGAATCAATGAAAACTTCATACTAGTAAAAATGTTTCATATTTTTACCCTCAGTATTGTTCAAAAACAAAGAGTACACAATTTTTAAAAAGGAAATTATTGTTTCTTTTCTGAATGTAAGTTCTGGTGAACATCTCTGGGATTGCGTACAAGCAGTACGGAAGTGAAAGTTAGAGTTAATCCGGTGAAAGGCAGAGACAATAAAGTCGAGGTACAGACATACGAGCAGAATCGACAGACCGATAGAAAGAGGGAGGACAGAAATGTGGTGTTTCAGTAATCGATTTCGGAGTGCTTCCAAGTCGGAAGAAGAATGGAATAAGAGACGGGAAGAAGACAGGGTGAACGAAAACCGGAGTAGCAAGACCTGTTTAAAGCGCCATTTAATTTTCCTTCATGAATCATTTAGGATATTCTTCCATCCCCTTTCCCAGGCCTTTCTCTCCTTCCTTGCAGCTTCTTCGGTTCCCGATTCGCTGGTGGCGGCCAACCAAACGGCAAGTTTCTCTCCTCATTACACGAGTAATATATGTATATCCGTCTATCGTTTAAATATTCACGAGGGTCCCGGTGTCAGGAAGATTCGCGAGCCAGATACAGGAACTCTATGAACTTGCTCGGCCCCTTTCTGCCATTCTACGCTCACTGTGTTTTTCTCAGTCTTTCTCTCCTTTCATCCTTACGTCTGTCCTTGTACGTACAGTGACTTCTTTGCTTCCGCAGCCGTCGTGTCTGACTGATCCGAGGAATAGTTAAGAGGATGAAAGAAAAACACGAGTGACGTATGTTCGTTTTGTAGCTACTCTTTTCCTACCGCGTCTTTCTTTTAAGGAATAACGCTATAGGTGTTACCAGCTTTGGCATAATATAATATTAATTAAAAATGTTTAGGCCTGAAGAAACTATAAAACTACAAAGGAGATTATTTAAATGACTCGATCCTTATTTATCATACAGACATTTTTATCGCATAGTTAGTATGGATAGCAGTTCCTAAAACCAATACGACAATCTGTTGGGACTCTTTCAAAAGTAATCCTATAACAATGGTGGCAACGTTGGCCATGACGGCGCGCAATGTACTTTTCATTGACTTATTCGGTTTTAGATAATGGCACTTGGACTATGTTTCTTATCGTGGCGAGAATTACGAGCAACCAGATAAGCGTGACTTGGATCGCGACGCGTATCGTTTTGATATAATGGGTCTTTCGTTGCGTCAGATGAACGCGTTATAACTTTGCGATTCACCGTGCGTCAAATATGGATTTCGATGCATGCAAAATGCGCGCATAATTCACCGGGTAATAAAACGTTGGTGACCCACTCTGAGCCGAATATTAATTACGCGGATAGAACTACAATTACTCAGGTCGGCTGGTATTGCGAACTGCGGGGCACGTCGCATCTCGTTATCAATATCGATAATTTTAACGAGCGCGTAATTAACTAATGATATGCCCGTAATGTAAGTCGTCAATTTTTCAATACCAATTTCCTTTTATCAAAACGTGTTTGAAACAGAGGATAGATTATTCTTTACTTTTAATTCCAATCGTACTTCGTTCATAAATATCTGACGCAACAAGAAATGCTAACATTAAAAGATTTTTTCCTCATTATTTCCTTTAAATTATATTTCATATAACGAAGATAACTAATGATTATTATTTCGCTCATCATTCAATATTTCATACATCTATATTATTGTACGTCTTCACCAATGCATCATATTTTTCATGAAATATTCGAGTCAACGAGTTTCTGGAAAATATCGGAGCAAATAATTTCCGATAACAGACCGTGGCTGATTCGTACCCGATGGTTTACGCTGTACAGAGAAAACCTATTTAGACCGAATCATGTTACCAGGTCGTCGTACGGTGGAATAATTATACGAAAACATCGGTTGGTATTTTGTTTCTGCGACACAGAAAAACGCGTTTCTGTTCTTTATTTCGTTCGCGCCACGCCGATATGCACCGATTATTCCATTCCCGTTCCGTTCGTTGTTTTCACATCGCAACGCATCGGATGGAATGGGAGATTTTTGTCCTCGTCGACTTCCTTCCCCAATACCGGGAGCAACGATTGGCTACATTTTTAAATTAGCAGTCACAATAACACCGGTCACGTTTTAACATAACTCTGCTTACATGTTTTGCGCCTTTAAAATAAATAGCATAACGTCAACGGTGGCTACCGCGTAAGCTGCAATTTTTCAGAGAAAGAATAATCCAACGCGAATCAGACGCGCGTAAATTTTAACGACGCCTCCTCGACTCAATTTGTCTCCTATTCATGGTCGAGTAGAGCGTACACTCCCGTAACGAAAAGGAGGGAAATGGGTTTCCTTAATGTCTCCTTATAAACGATGACACTTAGCTGATAGATATCATTACTTTCGTTAAAATTATACCAGTCCACTGGGAATGCTGCTTGTTATCGAACGCCTAGAATCGAGAAGTTAGCCAATTCGTTTTACGACATCAATAATAATCGAGAAACTTTTGACGCACACTGTTTGATACTCCTGGTCGCGAGTTTGATACTCCTGGTCGCGAGAAAAACTCGCGATCTTCCTAGCATTCAGGGATGAGATTTTTGTCACGTGCTCTGTGCGTATAATTTGTATCTAATAATAATATCTGGTCTAAGTTAAAGTCTAATATACGAAAACGTGCTTTCGGTCATATTCAGCAAAACCAGCGAATCGATAAAAAAATCGTATCCTCTGAACAGGCTGTTGTGACGTTGCCAAATAAAATAACATCGTGAATCATTATTATATTATTATATATTCACATAATTAGTAAATATTTGATTTCCTGTGTATAACTGGTTTAATTTGTTTAAAATACCAAAATTTTATTTTATAAATCGTAGTAATTTATGCTGAACTAATTCTTAGTATGCAGCGCTCGGAAGATCGCTTACTCGTTTATTACTTCGGCTCAACTCGGTCAATGATACTTTGGACACCCGGTATGATAGCACTCATGCATATGGAAGTTCTCGGTGACACGTCCGCGTCCTGCCATGCAGGACGCGGCCGGGACCTAGTATCAGAAGTGTGAGATAGCTCTTCCTGAGCGGTTCACGACTGACCCTGCTGGCTTTATCGCAGCTCTATTAATTACCGCGATCTGCCATAAATTCCAAGTAATACTTAGGATTTACTCGAGACAGCGGCTAGGTTAAATGGTCACATTAAATGCACATAGTTACAGGACATAAGGGACTCCTGTCGAGCTATTACGACGGACAAACGGCGTTGTATTTTAGCAAAGGCTTCCTTCGGTTGTCTTTAATCTTTCGCAACTTTATCGCGGTATTAACCTTGCATTACAACATCCTGTGGTATTATTCCACGCTTGTACCGCTTAACTTAATATCACGTTGTCTCCTAGAAATTTACCTTACCCTTGACATCCAGTGAACGAGAATCTCTGACCGAGTCGCTCGTAAAGTCTTCTGTTACAAGTACTTTAGAAATCTCGGTGGTTTTCTACGATTACAACTCGGAAGTCCTAGTTTTATCTTTAATCACACCGTGATACAAAAAGCAATAGAACTTGAGATAGCAGAGAGATTGAAATTTAAACGCGGATATCAGTTTATCGGTTAGACAGGGAGTTAGGTTGTCTAAGACACGGGCAACGCTATATGTTTTTATGTATATATACATATATATATATATATATATATGTGTCAGTTTTAAGCAATGTCGTGAGTACCTTGCGCTTTGTTTCGTCTCCCTAAATTCTCACACTCAAGCAAGCACGTCTTATCTGGAGAAGGAACAAGGGTCTCTTCGAACGCTTTATGCTTCGAGACAAAACGCTTTTGAAAAGTTTACACGATGGTCCTTGTCAGCCCTTGTCGTGCCTCGCAGTCACGAAGGGATGATACCAGTAGTCCGTAGAAGCCGATTACTCAGGTTCACCCGGTGTATTATCTGCGTACCTAAGACGATGAGAGGCTTTTGTATCCACCCATTCGTCACGATGTTGTATGCGCCATTGAAATTTCATGAGACCGAGCACTCGCATATGGTTAACATTGTCCACTTAATAGTCATAGAAGTTTCCCATTTCAGTGCGAAAGGAAATCTCTAATGTTTGCAACATTTCTTTTCCGCTTGTACTCTTACATACATACGGTAGTAATGGACCGTAGATACAAAATAGAACTATTCTTAATACGCTTGTTCGACAAAGACTGTCCCTTTCTACAACTTCGTTTCAAGTGGAATGCATCGCGGTCCGTTCACAGAAAGAATAAGACGAGGGTAAAAGAAAAAAACGTAGTACTACGCTTTAGTGTAGTAGTAGACAATGTAGACACAGCAACTCGGTAGAAGCGAACGATAGAAAGAAATAAGAAAAGCTTGAACAAATGTTTTCAATAGGTTGCATAAATCGCGTGTTTCTTCGTAAATTGAAATAGAAATGCATATAACCATATGGCATGGAACTGGCTTTATTGTTCCATTCTTATTCCAGTGACGTTTCTATGGCGCCTTATATTGCGAACCAAGAAGTACGTTATCGATCTGAAGCGAGAGTTTCTTTTAACTTGGATCTTTCTTTCTCTTTACAGATGTCATCGGCCACGAGATAGTCTGTTCTCGTGGAGCTCGGGTTTCGACAACTTCACGGGATTCGTCAACTGGGGCTTCCTGTTGTTGGGCATCGGTGGAATCCGATTGCTGCTCGAAAATTTCATAAAGTGAGTGTATATCGAGAATCTTGATAAAACCGTCCTCTTATCAAACGTGCCGCGGTTGATACGTGATCGGATTCGTTGAACGTTCGAGGATACGACACCCTCACGCTGCATCGTACCGTGGAGAAAGTGATTTATAAGTATAGTGACAGATAGAAAAAGTAACGCAACATTCGAGAAGCACCTCAAAAATTCCATCTTTCCATTGCTTATAGCAATTTACCCTGCTCGTGCATTGATGCGATTTATCAAAAAAACCGTTGTCATCTCGTGACACTAATGCTTCCATCCACGGGGAAGCTTCCCCCACCGTTCGATGCGTCCCCTGGGTATTTTTTCGAGTGTACGTGCGAAAGGGGTTATCGAAGCGTAGACCTCTCGATTATGCGACTGTCGTGGGTTGGAGCTCGAAAAACACGAAGGGGAGAGCGCTCCTTAAATACGAGTCCCGGATAACGCCAGAAAGGGGAAAGGTCTGGGGAAAGAACAACTTCATCAAGTTGTCGCGGGGTCTTGACAGAGAGGAAAAAGTAGATTGCGATAAGAAAATATTGAATTCAGTTTTAATTAAAGGGAGTGGCAACTGTAAATGGAGAACTGTTTTTTGGTAACTAAAGGTAGGCTCATCGGTTAAATATAATTTGCGGCACACATTTTTCCAGTTGAACTCGAGAGGATAGAAACAAACAGAGAAACGAAATCAGATAAAAAATGAGATTTCCCTTGTCGCTCAGGCACAATGTAGGATCCTGGCTGGATCTATTAAAGTCATTCTCGTTGGAAATCGAAGTTAGCGTGACAGTCTAATCTGCTTTGATCATTACTGCACTACTAGCGGCTATAGTTCCACTTCCGACAAAACTTCTGTGCCAAATACAAAGCTTATTATTAAGGGTACAGGTTCATTAATTGTAGTCGTGAGTGCACAACAAGCTTGCTAATACATCAACAATTCCATTTTAGTTAACGTTAAAAGTATTCACCAGCGAGTTGGAATTCAATTTAAACATCAGGTTTATTTTTGCGAAACTTTATTTGAATGTAAATTTTTAAACTTCATTTGAACGTTATATTACAATGTAAATTAAAACAGTAGTTATATTCGAGTTGAGAAAGGAGTCGGTCAAAAATTAATTAATATACGGAGGGCATAGCGAAGACTTGTTGGCCGCGCTGATTAAAATTAACAGGGCGCCTGATCTTTCAGGAGATTTCGCTCTTTCATGCAAAAGACACATACGCGCTGAACCTTTTTCTCTCTGGCCAATTTTCTGGCCATTAAATGGAAAGGGGCAAGGTTACAAGACCTGCCCATGAATAATTTCAACGAGATTTTTATCGCCGTTGTAAACTCGCGGCACCGGGACTCGGGTACGGGTCCAAGCTCCCGGGAACGCGTAACAGAAATTTATCACGCTCGTTAAGTGCGAAAAAACTTTTGAAAGAAAGTTTCGCGGCGTAATTGCTCGGGCCCGTCTTTAAGCGTTTTCTGAAACAAACGCTGGCTGACTGCACCTCGCTCCTCGAAGGCCGAACACACGGACAAAGTGATTTTACACGTGACCGGGAAACGTGAATCGTCGTCCAGATACATTGGACCGCACGACGAATTATTCTTCCATCGTATAGATAACTATGAAAGTTTCATCGCGCGCTGCTATCTACACGTACATCTGTTATTATTTCACGGAACACTGAGAAGTATCTTATCAAAGTAGAACTTAATTAGAGACAGTTATAAGAAACGAAGCGATATATCAGAAAGATTCAGTATTCTGTTCGTGAGATGTTGACCCGTAAACAAGGGGTACAGTTGGACTACGAATTTCTCCCATGTTCTCCTTTGAGAGATTACCATCTATTTAGAAGTCTGAAGAAAGTTCCTCGGGGAGAGTGACTTACCCGGAAAGTGTCGAAATAGTTTGAGGTAGTTCATTCAATTCCAAAGCAAGATCCTTTCCGAGATCATGCGCCAAAAGCAGGAATCGTTGCATTATTGAATACTGTCCTACAATAAAATCTGTTGGACCAATCCACGTATTAATGTTACACTGGATTTCATCGATGCGCTTGCACATTGTCTAAGAACTTCCATGTCCTTTCCGTTAATCTCCACCGTCTTCTGTGATAATTGAATTCGTAAGAAATCCGTTTTGCGTCGAGCGGAAAGGAAAAACGTTCGTTCGTCGAGTTACGGGAATAGAACGAAGCAGGCAACACGATTCCACGACGATCGAGATTAATCGACGTGGAGGAATAGTGGATAGCGGAGACGACGACGGAGGTTGAAAGAGACGCAGACAGTAAGAAGAAAGTAGAAGGACGATTCTCAGAGAAGTGAAAAAAGTAGGAAGAGAGCTCAATTAATCGGACTCTCGGCAAAGGACTCTAGCTCTATCGATAAAAGTCCGCGGAAAGGGACGGAGGCACAGAGACAGGGGTATCGAAGTTTCTTAACCGCCCCCCCCCCCTCACCTTGTCCCTTCTTCGTAGCAGTGTTCGGTGAAACTTTTCGAAAGGTCCACGATCCGCTCATAATTTATGCACTTTAACCGGAACTGTACGTGGAGCTTCATGCAATTCTTAATGGGCCGAGTTTACGAGAACGCGATTCGTGAAACCGTGGCGGACGCTATCAAAGAACGAAATAAGAGGAACATCTATTTCGGTTCAATGTTTTTCACGGAAGTAGGCGAATTTAAAAAACTTAGTCAAAGTAAATTTTTCATAAAATGTATCGAATGTATTTTAGCTTCAGTTATTTGTAAGTACATGACTTTACAGAAATAGATACAAATTCGTTCATTTTCAACATTAACCCCTTGAACGACAATTTATTTTCAGTCAGCACTTGAAAAAGAGGAAAGTTTATGACGAGCTGGACTCGTCATTTCCGTTCAAGGGGTTAACCACTTGTAGTATACTTTTAATTCGAGGAAAAATCTTTTAGATTAATATCATTATATTCATATTACTGGACTTTAGACTTTACATAAGTGAAATTTCTGTGAAACTTTTTCTGTTAAAAACGTTACGTATAAATACGTGTACTAAGAAGATAAAAAAGAGGTAAACAAAATTTTTGCATTCCGATTTATATGAAGTACTCTTAAACGACCAGCGAGAAAGTATCGGCTCACGATCAAGGTTCATCCAGTATTTTGAAGCTTCGTCGGCTAGTTCTATATTCGTAGAGAACGATTACAATGTCCAGCTTCGGAAATTTTCCACCATTCGATATCGGGTCTACGAGTACGCGCATCGTGCGTCGCAGAGAGACAGTCGAATTCATCGTGTCACGTTTATCCCAGTCGTTCTATTTTACTCGCGATTTTCGCAAGGATTCACGTCACGCCGAGAAATAAAACTCGTCCACCGTTCATCCGGATTACACGAGCCATAGTCAGAGGAATCCTCGAAACTGTACCTCGGTATTACCCAGCACGAAAAAATGGCATTAGCCGTTCCCGGTATAGCGATAGTTTCCGTTGGATTGTTCTGCCTTCACACTCGACGTGCTTGCACGTATAGGTATTCTCGTGCAGTAACTCAATCATTAGAACTTAGATAGATATTTCCCTACGTTATTGCGTCGAGTACTGATACGCGTTTCATGATGGGTAAAAAGGATCGAGATCCGATAACTATGGTCCCGTTATGTTACAACGTTATCATTGCACTTTGTATTAGATTTTTAAAGAACAGAAAACTGCAAATATTGAATTGCATTTACGTCTCTTTGTGTGTGTCATGCCTTAAAAAAGCTTTATAAGATTGTTTCATTGTCTTAAAATCAGGCTCTCATTATGCAATCTACATCTTATACAATCGTAATATGTTATCTTCTTGTTAAAGTTATCGCGTTTGTGCAGGTAATCTCGTTGGTAAGTCAATTAGGTTGCGAACCGTCGCATATCGTGTCGCCGTCGGCACGTTTTTGAACCTAATTGAGGATACCGCTGTTGGATATTTACAGCCAGTTGCATCCGCATTTCTCCCGCACTTTAATCCGATTAACGATCCCACGGAAAGTGATTTAAATTGACACGTTGCACGATAAACCTTTGTACTCGTAATCGGATCGTGCCAATTACGCTATGAACTTGAAATTCTATTTGTACGATCATTCTCTGTCAGACGAGATTTAGGTTACCGAATCAGATGTCCAAACCCGAGGTTTTAAATCACAGTAATGATGATACGGGCGACTATACAGGTCACTGATTTTCTTCGCCGTTATTCCCCAGAGTGTGTGTGAGAGAGAGATTTTTTTTTTTAACATCGTTCAATTACAAGAGGAGTCACACTCGAGGCAACTCTAGTTTCGTTGAGAGAGGAAAAATTGCTCGTCTCGCTTGACGTTCACGCGCGAAGCGAACGTACCGCTAATGTGTGTCAATGCACCTACGTTCATTTATAGCTCGATCGCGTGAACTATCGAATCACCGAGCCGTGCGTTACGGCATGCTGGCATGCCCTTTAGGCAGACGATAAAAGGTAACAACGCGAACGTGCTCGTCGGCTGCTAGGACAAGATAAACGCTACTACGCCTGCTGTCGTTTATTAAATATTTAACGCGAACCATTCGCGGCCGCGTTTTTAAAACCATTACCCACCGTACGGATGCTGTAACTCTATCAATTTTCACAGTTTCTCTGATTTCTCTCTCTCTCTCTTTTTCCCTCTTACTTTTGCTCTTCGGATCAAGTCTAGTGTATGACCTTTCCCTCGATCACCACCCTCTTTATCCGTCTCCATTCTGCTTTCCGGTCTGATGCGAAATTGGGGATTTTATCGTGACGTGGTATTAACGAAGTTCGACGAGCGCGAATTTAACGGGGCGCGCCTCGGATCAGAGCGGCTATTCTCGTTCGGGGAAAGAAATTTAATAACGTTCCTGCTCGCACCTTGGCGCAATGAGTTTCGATGGCTGCGATAATCTACCTCGCCGCCGCCGTTCCGGTTGCTTTATCAGGCTTATCTGAAATAAACACCCGCCGATCGATATGTTTTTGATGGATCCAATAAAGTTTTCACATCGGAAATGTCCACCACCCTGTTTGGAACGTGGTTGCGGTTGATTGAAATTTTTGTGTGCACAGTTCGTGTTCACAGTATAGTAAAAGGAATGAGACGTGAACGTGAACAGACACGCGCGTTGTTAACGAATGCTAGGTTCTTTTTTCAAATAATAAATGAGGTTCGTTCATTGTTTGTTGTTCTTTATATAAATTTGTGTTAGACTGGTGTGCATGATAAATCAAACCTATGCATTACACTTAAATTCGAAATAGAAAAAACCGATTTTAATAACAGTGCGTTCAGACGATGAGATGTTTAGATTCGATAGTTTTACCGAATACAAAAATGTCTGAACGCTGCTTTCGGTTATGTCGATTCGGTAATGTCTTGGTGATGTGAAGGAGAATAGGTTGAAAGAAGTCGATAGTTTGACCAAAACTGGGGTGAATTGCGATTGATGAAAATAGGTACTATCGTAATACACTCCCATCGTACATGAATGTATCCTTAATGGTAATATTCATATTTTGCTGTTACTAGTTTTCGTAATAAAAACTTATTTCATAGCTTATTGAACCTTTACTCTAAAACTCCTAAATAACTCTGGTTTTAACAAAACTTTGAAGATTAATAACTAAGTTAGATCTCCATGTGATTCCACGTCACAAGCAGATACAATATCGAGATAAAAAATTCAAACTTATCATAAATGCATATTGGTTAAATTGAAAGTGCATAAATCCGTTGAAAAAGTCTATCTGATAACATGTTCAATTTTCCAATTCTTTCACTGATTCTTTCATTTCATCGTGGCTTTACATACTTGATTTATATCGCTAAAAGGAATTACTGCGTATTACGGTTCATCCGGAATAGACTTCTTTTTTTTTGCCGCACTCGGCAGAGAAGCGTTTAACAATTCAAACGACGAAACTGCACTGGCCTCAAAGTCGGACAGCGGTGGCTTACTGAATCGCAGTGCGCACTACAGTGTGATAGACGTCCACTTTTGGGCTTACCATCGTACACAGTAGCTATCAATTAAAAACGTTTGATTTTTCCTGCACGTTCTTCAATTATTACGGTCCGCGTCAAAGCGTGACTGATTACGTTTTGGCCAACAAACAGGGATAAAAAGGCGAAGGCTGAAAAAGGAAGGGAACGCGACCAAATAAATATCCCACTGCGATGTTCGAACGCCGGCCACACTTCAAATGCTTTAATTACTTCACCTATAATCCTCGTTTATCATCGTTAGCCGACGTGTTCGACCTGAAGCCATTAGTGTCGGTTACCTTCATCCGACGGCCTTTTTTCTTTCCCTGGCCGACCACGAATGCACTTTGTCTTCCGTTGATCGCCGATGGTCATTCGTGCAACAAACGTTTCTGATGGCTAGGATTGATACAATGACGCACGATAAATCTCGTCGATGTACAGCTATAAAAATTGAACGGGGCGGAGCATCTATGTATCACTGCGAGTTGATGAGTCGTTTTTCTTTTGGAACGGAAAGTGCATGATGAACAGTCGAACAAGAATTCAGACAGTTTACGCCGGATCAGGATATTTCACCGTGATCGGGTTTCGCGAAAATTCATTTATCCGCGAAATTGCTTCACGACAGGGTGACTTTGAAGGAGAGGATCGTTTTTCCATTTCTTCCCTGGCTGTGTGTCCGGCGACCTCTTTTAAATTTCAGCAGCGCACACAGGGCGACGTTTATTATTTACCCTCGAAGAACAAAGGATCAAGGGACCCGTGACTTTTTATTTGGCTCGCCCCTCGTTCTTGCCTTCTCCCTTTCATTTCTTCTGCTCCTTCTTTCCCTGAAGGACCCCTTGAAAAGCATCACGCCGAAGATAGACGTTAATAACCACGCCTTTGCCCTTCGACCCGTGTCGCGATGTAGACACTCGGTTCACGTGACTCCGAGATAAAATTGGAAAGGTAGCGGAAGGTGGTGATAATAACGAGCGGGATGTTCTAATTTTCTTCCTCCCTCTTTTCTCTCCAAGTGTTTACATGATCTTTGCTTTTGTTCTGACGTAGGTACGGGATAAGAGTGGATCCACGGCAATGGGTTCTGTTTGTCGGAGGCAAGTACGTGGAGGGCGAGGAGCATCCGTCGATTCTACTCATCATCTGTAAGTCATTCTTTTAATAAATATCCGCAGCAACATTTTTTTTGTTAATATTTCTAAAAATTATTAATAGCTTCGTTACTATAATAATGATTAGGAGGAGAATCCTGATAATATTGAACAAATACTAGTGAATAAAATTACATAATTCAAACAAGACTGTTTAGTCTTTTACATTATTTAATTAAATCAGTAGAAAGCGTGACATATACATTCAAAAATGGAAAGGATATACATAATTACAGTTGATACGATTACTATAACAGCACAGACGATATTAGAATGTGTGCTGAAAACAAACGAAGTAAAGTACCTCGTAATTTTTCCACCATTTTAACCGACGCGAGGAACACGACCATTCTGGAGACGCGTTACGCAAAAGCGAGCCGCTATAAAAAGGTAATATGCGCAAGGAACGCGGACAAAAACTACTAATTTAAATGTAAAAGTAATTAGCGTGTGTCTCGCCCGCGAAAAGGGTCGGAAGCCTCTCACGGGGTGTATACGTACCTACAATTGCCTGTTAAATTTGAAAGATCCCGCTGCCTACGCCGTATCCCATACTTCTCGAAAACGAGTTTTAACGCTTGCCGCGTTTATTGTAAAGCGAAAGTTCAAAGACGCGAAAGCCACGAGAGTCCGGTTCGCAGATAAACCGTCGACCCTGCGAGACCCGGGGCAAGGCGAAGCAACGACCCTGGCCGTGTTCAAATTTATCGCTAAACGGGCGATCCTTTAAACCAGCGCAGCGTTTAAAGCCCGACTCAAAAGGCATGAAATTTAGCGCGGCGGAGTAGTGGTGCGCGTAAATTTCGACGCTCTACCAAGCCCGCTTTCGGGGACCGCGAACCGTTCTCTACGCATTGTCCTTTTACTGCCGCGCGATTCACTCGGTTATCCGCGTTTTCATCCGGAACCACGACAATCGCCGTTTGTGCGGGTACGTGGCGTCACGAATGTTTGGTTTCTGTCTTTCGAGAGACGCGCAGTGCGGGGGAGCTTGCGTGCACGTGAAGAGAACTTGATTAACGCGCCACGATACAGATTACGTAAAGGATTCCCATTCATTGCAAATAACTTCTCAGGACGAATAGACTATGTAATAACTGCATACGTATAAATTTCGGATAGCATTACTTTTATCTATGTAATATTGGAAGATCACGATGGGTAGTTTAATTTTCGGATACTGATTACATTTCTTTAATGACACATTCAGTTTTGCATTCATTAATAACTCTTATACTCTCTTATTACGAAACGTTATATGGAATTTCCATACAGTTGACTTAACTCATGCGCTTGCAACGATATATGTATATAATATTATGAATACTCAATCGATTATGAAGTAAGTTTCTCGGGGAGGACAAGCGAGTTGACGTAACAAGTAGCCGGGCGATCGAGCTCCCTCGTAGAGCCGTCTTTGTATGTTGCGTCACAATTTGCCAATACTCCTCAACTCTCAAGGCTAATTATCCTTGCGATTAGGTAGCGAAATTAATTTCTCCCCGGGAAACTTTCCCTGTGTCCCCCTTACAAAGAACCTTTGTCGCCCGAATCTACGGGCGTTGATGCTTCGGAAACGCCAGTGAATGTGCGTTGAAACTCTCGTTTCGAATAGCTATACACGCCGCGTGGCGTAGGTAGAATGCACGTACACGTGCACGCCTGCAGATTACACGTACAGAGTCACAGGTACGCGTTTAGAGGGGCTGCAAAGTAGCAACGCGGACGGAGGAGAAAGAGGGTGCCTACGAGGTGGTAGGTTGCATTATTAACACATGAGAGAAGGTAATGCTCATAGGGAACTACGGTTAATAGCTCTCATATTTTAGAATCTTCGTCGCGGCAGCCCTTCTTTCCTTACCGAGAAGCCTTAACTTCTCTCCCCTTCCACCTTTCTTCCTTCTTTTTACGGCCAGAGCCGTTCGTTGGAGCGAGTACACCCCTATGACTCCGTGTTGCCTCTGGTATCCGGTGGCCGTGGAGCTCGCATAATAATTTTCACGGCTCCCGGTACTCACTGGCCTGGTCGCCGAGATTGCTTTTTAAACGGCGCTCCGGCAGGATCTAGCCCGAGTTCGCGGCTCGCTCTTTCGCGATTAGGGGATTAATTATTCCGTGGACGTCATGAAGCGCGAATTATACCGTTTAAACTGCTGACCTCCGTGATTTATTCCAAGTTCCTGCGTTGATTAGCCGTCCGGCACATTTCTTTCTCCGCGAACGTCCGGTTTTTTTCACGTTTTTAATTAAGTTTTTCCAAAGGTCCGAAAGAAACGAGAAGATTCGCCGGGAACTGAATGAATTTTCATTGTTTATCACACGCGACTTTTAGTTACGGTCATATTTCGTATCCATTTGTTTTAAGTGTTTTTCATTGAGGCGAGGGAATGCCCTCTCTGATAAGCCACGAGAGATGCATTTTACATGTGCGCATGCGAAGCGTTAATTGCATACTTTACAGCAGCGACGCGAATGCAATTCCGCGTCGGCACTCGCGCGCTTGAATTGATGTCGAGAGGGTCATCGAGTTAAGGGATGCGTTATGACATCATTGTTAAAGTTTCATCGGTTCGCGCGAAATTCGCTTTTCTTCGCACAGCACCAGCCGTCGAACAATTGTGCATTGTATACATCCCGTGGCACCTATGTAGGCAATATTTTAATAACTAATTCAATACGCAAGATCAATATAGTTAAAAAGTTGAAATTGTGTCGATATTTTTCAATTAAATTTCTCTTGATCAGATTTCGTATTCTATTTTTCATCGCACATTTTTATACTTTCATTATAATGTGGGATTTTCTTTATATAAATCTGATTATAATAACTTTTAGTTTTTAATTTTTACCTTTTATAAATTCTTTACATATGACAGAGCATTCATTATAATTTAAATTTAACGAAAAACTTGAACGCAATAATTGTATCACTTGTTTCACATATTTTAGTGAATTTGGCTGAATTTTAACCCGTTCGAAGCGCGTGAAAAAAGAGAGAACAGAACGAAATAGATGCACTTTCGTGGTCTTCCACCTCTCGCATTTCCCTCATGGGAGATGCTTTCCCCTTGGGCACCTATAGCAAGCGTCCGTTTGGTGGTTTTGCAGAAGTTTCGGGGCAAGTTCTCTCTGAAACTTAAAGTTAACTGTAACTCAATGCGCGCCCTCGTCTTCGAGTGACGTAACGAGTTAGAAGCGAATACGAAAGGGTGCAACAAGCAGACGGTTTACGAGTTCACTATGATCTTGTCTGAGTATAACCTGTACTTCACATCAAACGTAGTAATAGATGGTTGCTGTTTATTCATTTATTTAGTAAAGAATTTAAATAAACAAATATATATAACTAAAAATACTATTTTCCTTTTATTTTTGATTTTAGAGGATTTTAACCAGTGAGATATGCATTTATCGACACATTTGTAAGAAAATTTTTTATTGTAATCTCGCATATACAAAGCTTTATTAACTTTAGTGAAAGGCTATTTACATTGAATCTTGGAAGAATCTGGTAAAGATAGAGTTAATTTCTTTTAATTTAAAAATCTGTAGGATCGAAATTGCAGGCTTGACTTCGGGAAAGAAAAACCACATTTCATAAAAGTTTCAGGTCAATTTGTCTTAAGTAAACTTCAACTGAAATCGTAAATGCTGCCTTTTCACAATATTGATCCCTGCTCGTGCTAATAGATATAACATTATTAAAGAATGGAAATTCTTGCTGGTTAAACAGAAATTAAATAAACTTGTAACTCGGATTTAAATTAGGTTGGTAGTGACTGTTGAAAAGGAAGCAGACTTATATTGAAATCAATAATTCGTTTAATACTGAGATTGGCACGGTGTTTGACTGTGTGCGAGTGACCTGGTCCAGCCGGGCGTTATCGAGTGCAGCGAAAAATTCAAGTAATTATCACCGATATCAGCCACTTGGAACAGATTTTTTACCGTTAGGGAATTAATGCCGTCGATGCTCTCGCGTTCTGGAATACGAGCCATTGAAATTTATTTTCGGCCGGGGGTAAAAATTCTGCTTGAAAATCGTGAGGGCGTCATTAACTGCTTGAAAGTTGTAGTTGCAAAGCGGCTATTGAAAAGAAAAAAATTCGACTCTTTTTTCCATAGTCCTGTTTTAACGATCATCGTTGTTCTACCTATGAAACAATCGGGAACGGGGGCGAGCAAAGTTCGGCTCCATTTTACGCGATGTACCGACTCGACCGGAGGAATCGCTTTCAAATTGAATTACGGATCGAGCAAGTTTTCTCCTGTGGACGTAGTTGCGCAGAAAGGACTGTGCGGTTGAAGAGAAAGTAGAAATAAAGGAGAGAAATAGCTGGAAGGTATCACTGGTTATACTTGGATCCAGCGCGATGCTGAACTTTTTCCACCGCTAATAATTGACGTGGATATGAAAATTTTTCGGCCGTGCCCGAAGTAATTCGAATAAAAGGGAGCACAACGCAATTCACCCTATAGAACGGATGTAACAAAGAGCCGCAATGTCAATATTGGCGAACCTAACTTTCCGCTCTTCGCAACTGATTTTATTCTCTCGCAAAAAATAGCACGAACATCTGTAATTCGACTCCGTTGCGTGTACGCAGGTACGCAGAACCCCGACAGAGAAAATCATGGAAACAGATTTTCCACGTAGCATTGCGGAAATTCATGGTAACCATAGTTAGGTCATGTTAGAGGCACGGGGTGTAGAAACGGGAGAGACGCGACGCGAATCCACGTATGAATTACTTAATCCACTGCCTATACACGGCCGGTCCCAAGCTATAATAATCGAATTAAATGCGAGATTGCGCTTGCGAAAAGCCTTTCACGCATCCGCCACCTGCGCATCTGGTTTAATGTCTATCGTGCTCGAGCGTAGCCAACTAAATACTCAGCTTATCACAAACGCTTGTCGACTTTGCATTATAAAGCTTGATCGTTCTGAACGAATCTAAATTAGCCGCGTACAGAATTTATTTGCCACAGTGAAGCCCTTTAAATATGGAATTATCAAAGATTTGTGTTATTTGATATATTATCGCAAAATCGTCACGAAACATACCTCGTTAATGATTTCATGTTCCTGTCAACGAATAGCGCATTTAATTCTTGATCGAAAATATTTCAAAATACTTTAGAGTAATTATAGTCTTTGACAGTATTTTTCACGCACAATTAGTTAATCGTTAAATGTCCTCTTTGCGTAAAAAAACGACTGCGTGACTTGGAAAGAGGAAATATCAATGTGTACAAAGAGCTATACGCAGAAAGCAAGGGTCCTTTTGAACTTTAATATCCTTTACGAATCAGAGATGTTTGAAAAAATCGCTTATCGGTATTGGAAATTTTCTTTTAACTTTTTCCTGGTCCCGTTGGATTATGCATCAGAACTCTTTTACGTATCGATTTACAGGTTGATATAAAAGCGGCTAGGTGTATCAGCGTGTAAAAAAATGATCAAATCACATCAATAAGTTTCCACTGCGTAACTGCGTAAGCAAGAATAATCCACGGCGCACCGGTGATCTCATCGAAAGCTTCGTGCCTGCGGGTACATTGCGTGTCTTCAAAGCCGATCATTTCTGTGGTGTTAGCATGCGTTTAATAGCGCCGTTAAAGCGCGGGTGTATTATACGTACGCCTTTGCTCGTAATTCGTGTGCTGCTGTGCAAAGGGAGGCCTTAATTAGTACTCATAATTATTCGTAATTAGCACTCGACGTCCCGCGGTTTAGGGTGCTCGTGAAGCTCTTCTGGTTGATGGTGACGCCGTTGCTCGCAATAGAAAAAAAATTGAAAAAAGTGAGAAAAATGTCGTACGAAGAAAGGAGACGAAGAAAGGAGACGGCAGGTAGGCCGGGAGGGATGAATGAGGGAAGATGAGGGGAAGAATGAAGCTACCGACTGAAAATCATTGCTTTCACTCCTCATCTCTCGAGTTCAAGCGAGTATTTATATCTCGAGGGTGCAACCTCTCCTCCACCCCGCTACTTTCGGTTGTGAATTTCGTTCTCTTTAGTCGCGGCTCTTTTTCCACTCTATTCTTCTTCATATATCCTTGATTCAGAACTGAGCTCTCGCGCCATTCGAACGAAAGCTTTCGCAGGCTCATGCGACTTTAACCCTCCGCTTTTCCGGCCTCCGCTTTCGCGAGCCGTGCGGCATACAGAGATTTATATGCGCAATTTAGAATCTCAACCCCGATATCGAAATCGTAGGCTCTGACGACGAGTCACGTGAAGAGTGCGATAGTTATGTATACATGCACACTTTATGTATGTATACGTATCTATAATACATACCGCTCAAATCCCTAGTTACCATTATTCGACACGATGGAACGTCGCACGGGGAGGCAACGTAATTTCGCGCGTTTCAAAATCTGCAACCCTTTTGTAATTTATCACGAACCACGGAATGATAAATTGCGCTCGAATTGATAGAGTCCCCGATGCGCCTGGACATGATTCATTCCCCCGGACGCGGTGATTAAATGCGCTTGATATTATTAATGATATTTCGGGAATTTTGATGGAACAGTTAAAATTCAGTAGATAACAATATTTCTAATTAAATTTGATCAAATGTAATTACATACCATAAAATATCCGTAGAAGCACTGCACGGTATTTACATTTAACTTCTTCCTTGTGACGTTTATTCCGTTGGTGTAATTATACCTGAGATATTGTCCATTAAGTTATAAATTACGAATTTCCTGAACACTGGTGAACGAGGTTACTCACGTATCCGGCATTCGCCGTCATCCCACGGCCCCTTTTTTTCCACAAAAGTTTTATTAAAAACGACGGAATGTTGCCAACTCGATGTCAGGATATAATTAAAATTTGCCTGCTCGGATTTGATCTTATCCCGCCCTCGGCTCCCCTTAGTTGCGTTACCGACAGCTGTGCTCTCGCGCCATCGCCGTCGACGCGACGCGACAGTTTTTCACGGAACCCACGCTCGTAACCAGCAAACGCCGCGTCGTCCTGCCACCCCGCCCATCCCTTCCTCCTCTGTCCCCCCGTCATCCGGACACTCGAGAAGATAGAAGAGACTTACCAAGGAAAAAGTAAAAGTCTTAATTAGCGGCTGAGATCCAAGAGGTGCTCAAGAGCGGAGGTCGATTACCCTCGAGGTTCCAGATACCACTGCTCATCTCGTCTCTGTCTTTCCAGCGGGCGACTGCAAAAAAAGAAAACATTTCACTCGTTCTTGGTCTCTCTTCGCGATGAATTCGCTGAAAAATTTGATCTCTTTAATACGACGACCAGCTCGTTAGAGAGCAAACTACTGTGGATCATTAGGAAATTCGTGAAAGAATCTTTCTAACCGAAGAAATGCGGAGTTCTCTGATGATCATTTATTATAAATTAATGCGCGATATTTGGGATATGCGTGCGGTTCCAGGACAATTAGTATCAATATACCGGTCCAATTTCCATCGGAATTTTATTTAACCGATCTTAAGTAAAATGCGAGTATATTTTATTCATTCAAGTGTAATACGTGTCTCGCGAACAAGTTTTTAACAAGGCATAAGATTTTATCATGATCATTATGAGGTAGAAACAAGAGTTAGGAATACGTCCTGGTTAAATTGTATGACTGTAAACGCGTATTGAGTGGATACGTATTTACTTCTCTGTTAACCTCGGAACATTTATTCGATACAGTTCTGGCTTATCATCAGTATGTTTCCAATTTGATATTTTTTTTTTGGATAGAGAAAAACATGTCGCAATAATTTTACCGAGATCAAAGAAAACAAGAGAGCGTGTGCGTCCATTGATTTAATTACATAAAAACCCAATGAAATGTAATCAAAATCTTGTACAAATGTAAAGCACAAATAAAATGTCTGTACGCATGGAACACTGGTTCACGTTTCGTTGCAAGTCCATTTGCAATCAGCAATTCGTTCTCTGTAATTTTCATCAAAGGAAAAATTTTTATGCAATTTATTTTCTCGTACAACAATATAACGTAATCGTGTTCCCTTTCTGTATCTAGCTACCTTTATTCGTACCCGCCTTTGTGCTATCTCCATTTCCGGATCCTTCTTTCATTCACACTCGCTACGAGGCAACGAGGATGCTCGGCTGTTCGTTCGCGTGGAAAAACGGTCGTATTTCCATGGCGCGAAGGGTTCCATTAATATCTATTAGCAAGCCGTCCTCGACGTCATTTGTTCTATCTTTCTTCTTCTTAGAGTCTGTCTTTTCTTGGCATCGAGTAGAATCGAAAGTAAGAAAAAGAAAGGAAGGACGAGGGGTTCCAGTAGCTGAAGGAACAAGGGATTCGATCGTATTTTTCAAATATGGGAAATTGCTTGATCTCATTAAGCAACAAAGGGATTGAAATAGAAATACGTCAGAACCATCCGCTCAGATCATAATTTTTTGGAATCATGAAAAGTTAAGCCAGATCTGCGATTGGCAAGTCACCTGTCGATAAGATAACTTTCGAATAATTAATCGCTATCGAATTCTACATGAGATCCCATTATTAATTTACTTCTATTATAAGTACTTCTTAATCGTTATTAAAAATGGCTGTATGCTATACACAAATGGAACGAACGCTTTACGATTTCCGTGCGAGACAATGGTCGAGCTTTTCGATCGATATCGATGCGTAGCAATCTTGGTGAAATTTAATAAATAGCGTTTGAGACGAAATTTAGTTTCTCCTCTTACGCGCGTTCCATCGGCGATGATGATTTTCAGTCACCGGATGAAATATACCGAAACACGTGAATGCTATTTATTGTATTAATTGACACGCCTATAATTAATGGGCCCTTTCACGTCTCTTTAGCTTAATGCGACGCATTCGATTCGTCGATCAAGTCTATTTGTCTTCCTCTGTCCGACTGGTCACACGTGTGCGCGTAATTCGGCATATATATGTACACGTGAAAGAGCGTACGCGCATGTGTGCGTACGTGCGTCCTATCGCCCGGTGCGGGCCAGAAAAATGCTGGGAGCTCGTAAAACGTGTTCGAATTCAAAGAGCTCGTAATTAGTCGAAGGGAACACGTGTCGGCCGTGGCGAAACAATCGCGGCCTTCTCTTTTTCGTTTTATTCGTCGTTTTTTTTGCGAGCTTCAACCGAGCGAGACTTGAATTTCTTTTCAGCCCCCAAAACGTTGGTAACGTCTATTTAACGAAGCATTCCATGTCACGATATAAAGCCGACGGAACCTAGTCTGCGAAACCGTTGATGCGACGTTTAAATTGTTGCTATTTGGTCGAATTAAATATTGACGGGAAAAGAATTACGCATTTTGCGGTTGATCGGCTCTCCAGCTCGTTTGATTTTTAATCAACTGGTTACGATAATGGATTATTGGAGATTGAATACGCAGTATATTTGAAATAATAGCGATTGACTTGTTAATCACACGTAAAAATATTTTGTTTAAAGCATTTAACGAAGTTGTATATGTAACAATACGATCTGTTAAGCGCGAAATAAAATACGGGAGAAATTGGCGATCGATGTGTAGACCGTTAATTGAAAGTTGGGAAAAGCTTAACTGGATATATCACGTGTCCCTCTTCCAATCTTCCTTCAATTTTCGAATGTCAGTTCTTTGACACTTCCTGTTAGTCATCGGATAAATTCGATTGGAGATCACATCACGTTGCCCTCTACTTGCTTATAAAATTGCGCCAGAAGCCAGTATTTTATACTTCAGATTAAAATACTTTTAATGCTATTAATTCAGTTTATATTTTTAACTTTAACTCTTCTGATAAAAGCCAATTCGATATTTATACTGCTGGAGCTATTCGATTTTACGTAATATATATTTATCGCATTAATGTAGTTAGTAAAAGGGGCAATCATTTTACGCTAACGAGAAAGATAGCAAATCGCAATACTCTTTTATCATAATTAGAACGTCGCAGTTTAATTCCGCATTGGTATTTCCAGCGGCGGAAGGACCATTTTCATTTTCGAATGTCCGTGTGCTCGAGGTTCTGTGACCCGTTTCCACGAGAATTTCGCGGCTCTCAATTTCGCGAGTGTGCCTATCGTACGGTTGCATCTCTTAAACTTATTTAAGTTTCGCCATATTTTATCCGCGGGGACGGATGATACTCGGAAGAGAATATGAGGACGAACCGGCCGAAATGAAATCGTAGATACATACATACACACCCACCTGCGCTATCACCCTCGTCTGCGTCAAATCTTGTATAATCTAGCGGACTGTTTTGGCTCGATGGTCCCCGGAAACAGTTCAAATAATGTTGGAGGAAATAAAATTTTCGTTTTATGAATATTCCGATTATGAAATATTTGTGGAACCTTATTACCGAATTATATTCTTATTATTTTATTTTCCTCCGAGCTACCAATTTCTCCGTTATCTGATCGTAAGAGATGCATAAAAAATGGTGATTCTGATATTTTGGGTAATATGAGCCAGCATTCTATTTATTCCGCTGTTTGCATCGTTTCTCTTTATCTTACTGCAAGGAGATTATGGTGCAATAAAAGCAAGATTGGATGCAAAGGAGAGGGTCGAGGGAAAAATGTACAAGTAAGCAGAATGAAAGAAAATAGCGGTTAGCAATTTGTGAATTGTGTAGAGCTGGTATTTTATTCTTGAAGCGGCGAATGAAACTAGGCGACACTCGCGGAAGACGACTACGCCGAAGATCAGTAGTCACGGTTCGTAAAAGGTCAGACATAGGTGACAGCATAATATACATAAATTAAGTATACCTCAGTATACTTTTATCGCGTTCCGTTTTAACTATGTTTGAATTTTATATCCTATGTGTATATATTCAAATTTTAACCATATTTACATTTCTCGACATATTTAAAATTTAGAATTATATCAATCATTTTTTATTAGTAAATTTATAATTCTTTTACAACCTGAGAACGATATTTCGTATATAGGAAACACTACAGTCGATTTATTCGTATGCACAAACGAAATTTTTCTTCTTTAACGTACGACCACAAAAGGTCCGTTGGAAACTGTTAACGTTTTCCACAGAGTCTAGGTCCTTTTCGTTAACTCGTAGGTACACGACGTTCAATCGAGTTTCCGTTTTGTAGCGAGTGCTATTTTGGCTGATTTATCGATGAGTTGCTTTCGACGCTGCTTGTAGTTCGATATCGGTTTTTCCCTCTTTTTTCGTGCCACTGTGCGCGTGCACCTCTACACACGAAGATGGGTCTATGTCAGTGCGTCCCGTGTGTTATCCCTTCCAACCATTCAAGCGAAGCCCTCGATCACCGGTAACGTTTATCCTCGCTGTACAGCCTTCACCACACGCGCCGCCCTTTTTCCCCCCGTCCTTCTCCCTGTTACGCTCCCTTTTCGCTTCCCTTTCGATTGCCTCGGGAACGTCACATCGTATGACAGACCCTCGTCACTTGCTGTCTGCACCAAATTGCAGTGTACAGGGGCCTGGGTGAGTACGGACCTCCTCGGAAGCTTGTCATTTCGGAAAAGCAGACAAAAAGCAAACCGGGACTGGACGAGTGGATTTCGTACCGATAGTTTGTACGTCCGCTCGATTTCGTGAATTACAGGGTTACATTGTTCTCAACAACATGTTTTCTTTTTGTTACAGATGCCACGGTGCCTGTGGGCCTCTGCCTGCTGATCGAGAAGGGGCTGTCCGTAGTGAGTACAACACGTATTTATGATCCTCTTATAATGTCGCCTGTAACCCAGACGCTACCATTTCGGAATGAATCACGGAGATAACGTATTCTCTCTGCACGAATACGGATGACAGAGGATGCGCAAGGTTATTAAAAAAGTTTCTGGACGCGCTGCGCGATGAAATTTGTACATTTTTTCGTGCACGCGTCCACGGCGACGTGCAAAATGCGAATCGGGCGAGTACGGTGTCGAAAAGAGGGTGACGGGACCGGGCAGGAGAGGCGTGTGCGGGGAGGAAACCTGGCATGAAAGTTGGAAAAATATTTTTCGCTCGTTTCGCGATTACTCTTTTTCTCCTCTTGTGACAAGACGAAGCACGTTGCTAAACTAAACTAATAATAATATCTCGAGCATATGGCGCCGCTCGCGGAAACTTTATACGACCACCGGTTAAAAGTGGCGGACTCGCGCGAGGGACGAGCCGTGTAGCATTGCATTTTTCTCGTATCAAACTCCGCCCAACGTTGGGTAATATTTGACGAAACATGCATTTCAAATATTGTTCAATATCATAGATTTTTCACGGTTTAAATGAAACAGTATTTTACATTGGATATAACGTAAAATATTTGCAGTTTAATGAACTAACAATAAGCCACAAAATAAAATACCTTATTTTAATACTCTAAAACATAAAATCAAGTACTCCAATTTTACTTTAAATATTGGATTATCCTACAAAAGGATGCGATCTTTTCCATTTATTTGTTTACGTGAAACTCTATAACATCGTTACTGGTAAATGTATTAAATGCAGTTCGTTATCTTGAACAATAATATTTGATCTAAAAAATAAATAGAAATAAATAAGATTCAAATAAAATATTAGTTTCAAATTTATTGTATCATGTGAAACATTTCATTTTTAAAGATTATACCTACGATACTACTACTTACCTACTTACAACTAAAATAAATAATTATTTATCCAGTTTTGAAATCATCTGCTGTTCTAGATTGGGAATTATGTTTGCCGGATCGTGTATTATTATGTGATCGATCTTCATCTTTTGAACATTTAACGCAAAACCATTAACAATTCTGTTGTTCGACTTAATCCCTTATGAAATAGGATAAATACAAAATGCACGATCCGATACAGAATCGTGGATAATTAATTACTATTCTGCTAGGGATCCCTCGGCAGGAAATTCAATTCCTAATTTCTGTGTTGTTATATCTTGCAGAAACGAATGCTCTTAGAAACCATTGCACTCGGAGGAGAACCCATAAAGCCGAACGAACGTGGCTATTTACGTTTTAGAAATTAAATTTTTTCGTTTACAGTCTCTCGGTGGCACAAAGGCAATTTCCTGGTCAGTAATTTTGAAACTTTATGAGTTTACGGCTCGCCATGCCGTTTCTAAGGAATATACGGGCTTCCTGTATGTGTCACGTAATGAGTTCACCACGAGACTCAACGGAAATTTCGTTTTTACCTTGGGGATGATTTCTCAGTAATTAGAACTTCAATCGAGAACGCTGTTTTCATTTCAATCTTTTTGTTAATAATGAAAGTGGACGGATAGTCCATTGGTTCGAAGGGAACAGAGTTAAAAAATCAGAAATCCACAATTCTTTCTAAACAGCAACTTCAATTTTAATGTAATATATAATAATAATAATAAATATGGAAGATCAAGCTCTTTGCATGCTGGATCAGCATAAATTGCACGTGGACAGTTTGTGAAACGAAACGATATGCAGCTGCCGGATATTAAGTTGTCGAGTTTTACGAGAAGAGTCGAAAAGCTGGCTCGAAATTACACCGACGTCGGTGAAACATCTGTTCCACTTTATTTAATTTATAAATCGGCCGCTGGGTATTTGTTAGCTCACTAAGCTCACACAGTCAATTATAAATTCTAACTGAAGTTGTCAGGATTACTGATTTCGATGATCAAAAGACTGACTGAACGAGGAGATGACGATCCGCAACGGCATGAGGCAGCTACTCTTAGCCGGAACAGTAATAGCAAGTTTAATGCAGAATCTAAAGCTATCGACTAGCATCATGAAGGTGGTCAAACTAAATAGCTAGTAAAACGCGTATCATGGTAGATGATCAGCGTAGCGTAACGATCACGTTGCAAAGCTCAGCTCAGCTCTCTATGTATGTCGATGCGAATTAGCGATGCTTTGGCTAACGTCTACATGTATACGTTGTATCGTATATTCCCCATGGCGGTGACGCAAATACGCGACTGCCGTGTGGTATCGTCAGCGTAAACATTGCTCGGGTTGACTCCATACTCCATACCGCGGGGACCAGCACGGCAGCGCAACGTGTACGTCCATCAACGTGCAACAGAAATCTGTATTCGTTTGGTTACACACTACCTGAATTCGAAAAAAAAGAAATGGTCGGTGGATTCACTGTTGCGTTGCCACATTAGAGAAAAAAAATAAGAGAATGTTATCAATTTGCTGGATAATAAAAGATTAAAAAATCAATTGCAACGTTTGCCAAGTTTTCCATTTCAGCCCCATTTCTGAAATCTTGTTTCTTTCAAAGCAATTTCGTTCGTGCAAATCAATTTATCGACAGTTTGAAAAACGTGTTTATTCTGTATTTTTATACCCACTATACGTGTCTTATAATTTCTACATATTCAGTTTTTTTTACCAATCCATAAAACCGTCAGTCTATTCGTAATACATGATCGAACTAACTTTGTTTATTATATCAATATCGAAACAATCGCGATGGCAGACACGATACGGCAATACGTTTCTCTTTCGTTCCTGCCTTATTTATCCTCGTACAAAGGTAGTTAAATACATTTAATACGAAACGTGCGTATAGTTTAATTAAATTTTGTCGAACATATGCACCGCCTGTCTTTGTCTTTCTCTCTCTCTCTGTCTCGCAAGCGACATATTTTAACGTGTAATTAGTATGTCGCGCTGAATCAGCGGTCGAAATTACATTCTTCTGGAAGCTAATTTGCTGGCTGCAACAAACAGCACCGGTAGCAGCCGCCGGCCTGCTGAACTTGATAATTACCATAGGCTGATTAATCGTCGGCCGCTAATCGAGTAATAATTCGACTAATGACGATCGTACGGTAACAACGTAGTATGAATAATTTGACGATACGAATAATCACTCCGTGTATGAATAATACATCACAAATTAATCCTTAAAACTAACGCCAGGCCCGCGGTGCAATTTTCAATCTGGTTCGACCCTCCCTCCCCCCCTCCTCCCTATCAATTTCCTAGACGTCGCTTCACATCGTTGTCGCGTCCATCCCTCTACCAGACTGGGACGTAAAATATGTACCAAAAGACAGGACGATGGAGCAGAAAAAAGAACGGAAAAAAGAGAGAATAGGTTAAAAAAAAGCGTGGACGATCGAAGCTTGGTATCTACTAATTAAAATGCAAATGGCCGCGTTTTATTAATGTCGGGAGTGACGGACGCGTCGTAAGTAATGTCACGGTTTTATAGAACGAGTATTAGCCCGGCTTTTACTTCGCCTGATTATCCCGACAGATCCATTTGTCCCGATTAACATGCCCGGCTAATTCCATTATCCGTGAATTCCATTTCCTGTTAATATCCTTCTGTCCCGTATTCGTTTGACGACATCAAACCACGATTCGGGCCGTGGTTGTGCCGAAAGAATTATTATTATTTTTGGCCCGCGTGTTCCGGTTTCCCTAGTTTCCGCACTTTTTGCTTTTTCCCGCGAAGATGAACGGCATCGCGTGCGTTTCATCCGCGGCCAGTTGTGTACGCGCGTGGATGTTTCACTCGTGCAATTCAATGAAATTCATGGTATTCTTTTGTTTGCGTAATTAGACTGAGCGCTTCGTAAATATTTGCTCCAATGTAGCTGATTGTCGTCGTAGACCGAGGACAAATAACTTTTCAATCCGTTTCGGTCGACCCAAGTCAGTCCTCCAAATTAGATTCCATAGTTTCGTCGGACTTGAGCAGATTTGTCAGGCTCATGTATCGGAAAGAAATAAAATTGGTCCGTTTCCCATTCGCAAAAAGTTCGTATCCCTCTCTGAACCTTAAAAGTTTCGCGGCACGTAAATACGGAATGTGCAATAAACAGCTGTCCATATTTCTTTTTATCTTCTTTCTAAACGGTCTAACAGGGAGCAAACGGGGCGAACGTTAAGGTCGGCACCGGGATATACAACTCGGAAGCGTGCCGTGGAATATTTTATATCAGACGAAAATGTTTCATCGCGAGTACGCCGTTTGTTTTAACCGCCGGCAAGGTGCGGCGTCTCGTATTTTTATCACAGAGAATCGTGTAAGCTCGATACCATGATAAAATTAGCTGAGCGATGCGTTCAAATAATTAACCCCGTCCTGAGAGCCATTTCATTTTTATCACCGTGCATGCACTTGATGGCTCGTATCTCGTCGAACCAGTAGTTCCACTGCGCTTTGCATAATGTTTTTCATCGCATCCGTCACGCGGGTAAACATATATGTATATTTATATGATGCACTTCCCATTGTTTATAACGAGGTGAAGAGAAATTGAATGAAAGATTCATACAAAAGAGAAGCGTATCAATCGGTACATAATGTTACATAAGTAACGTATCAACCAAAGCGTGAGACACGAGTATATGCGCACTCGTATTCGTTGAGTCATGCTCCCAATACTTAAACCAGCCCTTGAACAAGTTTCGCAGTGGATTTCGCAACAGAGACAAGACCGGATACGAAGCCTCCGCGTGGATAATAAACGACTTGTGGTAGTCCAACGGACTGCGTTTCGGCCTTCGTATTTCGAGAAACTCGGCGTATTCTGACCGCTGCCTCACGTCCACCTTCTACGAGAACGAGACTGTCACGCTTCCCGTCCTGCCTGTATACTCCCCGTCCTTCCCCTTAACCGTTTCATGTGCCGCGCTTTATGCTCCTTCTCTCTATGTTTCTCTCCCTCTCGAAGCGACTTCCGGTCGTAACTTGTACCTCTCTATTTTGTGCCGCAGGATATCATAGCTCACGAGCCAGGAATGGTGTTCCACGTCGTAAACCTCATCGTGATGGTACTGATGCCGATGGTGGTCATCCACGTGAAGGATTCCGGATTCAGTCTGTGTAAGCACCATTTTACGTATCATTTCATCCCGCGCGGACCTCATACTGTCGCGCGTGTATGAGCTATTGAAATGAAATACAAGCAGGAAGACAGAAGCACGTGTTCGCATCGTGTTACGTTTCTACATTTGTAAACGTTAATATTTCAGACCATTTACTTGTAAAGCTCCATCGGTTGATTGTTATTTCATTTTGTAATTAGCTGTCAAAATGTTTTATGAAACGTATGTTTGTTAAAGAGATTTAAAATCGATATAGTATTTCGTTTCGTTAGTATCATACAACAGCAGTTGTATTTATAAGAATAATTTTAAATGGCTTGAGACTATTCCCCGTCAATACGTAAAGGAAAAAAGTACCGAGTCCTAGGAACATCATAAAAGGGATCAGTTAAAGTGAGCGAATATAATTAATTGCGATTACGTGCTCAGAGTTGTCGAGGCCCGTTTACAGCACACATCCCGTTACGGTCGAACAATTTTGAATTAGTCCGTCTGCGCGCATTCCAAAAATGCGAAAGCTTACGGAGGTGGGGACGGACAAAGGAAGGAATGTCGAATCGAAAGTTTCGGCAGCAGTGAAACTTTATAGCATTCTACGAATAGCAACCGTCGGTTCTCTTTTCACACGAAATTCGTGTCCGTTGAGCTGTTTAATTATAGAAGCCTTATAGTTCGACGACGCCAGTATTGCGTACGCTCGAAGCGCGTCGCTTAATTCACCAGCATTGTACCATTTAAATCGAATTGTTGGCAGCTTTCTAATTTTTCCCCCTTTTTCCATCGTCCCCGTTCCTACTTTTTCAATTAACTCGACCAACATAAATCACGCTGTCTCATTACTTGTTTACCACTTTCACGCTCTCAATATGCCTAACTCATTGAAGTTTGATCTCCTATAAACACAGGCAAGCACGCATCGGTCTTATATTAACCCGTTGAACGACAATTTATTTTTAGTCAGCACTTGAAAAAGAGGAAAGTTTATGACGAGCTGGACTCGTAATTTCCGTTCAAGGGGTTAACCCCTTGACATACAATGACGAGTTTGACTCGTCATTTATTCCATTTAATTTGTATGTAAAGTTCCATTTAATTTGTATGTCAAGGGGTTAATGGCATACGACGAACGATGAGTTGAGCTAAAATCCAATCAGTTTAGCGTACATATGTTAATTAACGCATGCATCCGTAAGAGTTTTCAATTTATGGCTGATTTTTATTAGTTGTTCCTGTCCCGGCACGCTGCGCCGCATCGCATTGTCGCTCTCACGTGACGCCGCTTTAATTCTCGTTACGAGGGAGCAGCGACGTGCCACGTTGTGCAGCTCCATATCAAAAATTCTATTTAAATGCAATGCGCATGGTGATCCGTGAGGTCGGATGGTTGAGTGTCATCGTGCAGGCAAATGTAATTACACGATACACCGTTTGAGCTACGATTCGATCAGTTGATCGGTTACGCCAGCGTTTTGTGAGGATAGGAAATTCAATTAACAGGGAAACAAATTTTCATTGTTCGCAACGTAGATAGAAGATAAAATGTTTTTCTATTGTCTACCAAAGAATATCTCGTCCGTATTGCAGATTTCTACTGCCTCTTTTTCTCTTTTCTTTTTTAATTTCTGGAACGTTTGACGGACTCAATTATTCCGTTTTAAAGTGATCAAATTAATACCTGCTATACATCCTACCTGTAGCTGAAGGAAACCCAAACAAATAATTAAAGTCGGAACCCTGAGTACTGTTAAAAAAGTTTCTCGCCGATCTATTGGTCGTAGGAACGGGTCGCGAATCTCAATTAAGAGAGATTTTATTGGAACGCCTTTCAGTATCGCCGGGAAGCGTGCGAACCGCGCCAGGAACGATCGAAGAAAAGCAATTAAAGAGTAAGCACATCGAAGAATCCGAGGAAGCCGGCACTCTAATTAAAGGATTTCAAATTAAAACATCTTCGACAATAGACGCGTTCCTCTACTTTCATTCCCATCGCATCCTAATACAACTCGCAATCAGTTGTAAAACAAAATTCGATCATAGCTTCTTGATATCCCGTTCTGACATGTCGTCTATCATAAAAAGCCGCTCAAAGTTTCGCAATGCGGAACGTGATTTCTTATTTGATTTATAAATCAAGATTGTAATAACAGGATCTTAAGTAAATCTTACTGTTAACGTGTTCCTTTTTTAAAATTGTGTTATTATTATTGATCTTTTTTTTTTAATTCGAAATTTCATTCGTATTTCTGATACGAACACTTTTACGTTTTATCTTTTGTTCTCTGGTAACTGTAGATATCCACGATATCTTGTGCGAACAATAAAAAAGAAATTTACGAATGAGTCGTGAAAATCTGTGAACGAAGAGTACGAGCGAAGGTCGTTGCGTCGCGCCGTGACGCGTGAGCCAGGTAGATTTATACATCTACTAGTCGGTACATCCGGTTGTGTAAGCGCTTCTTAAAAGTTTTTGAAGTCTTGGCGCGAATGTGCTTGCAGCCTAAAAGTAGTACGACTGAAGTGGCTGTACAGAAAGAGAGAAAGGAGAGAAAGAGGTGTCGGCCTCCTTTTCTTCCTCTTCCTACCACTCCTTCGCGTTTCACCTTCTTCCTTTCGGTCTCGCCTTTTCTTCGTTCTTTTCCCTCGACTTCTTCTCCAACGGGTTTAGTCGAGATCCTCGACCTCTATGTCTCGACACGCAAAACGACTCACGTACGCGGGAGAGAGTGCGCACTTGAGGGAAAAAAAACTGCGATCCGCAGCCTAGACTCGCCTCGCCTCGAGATACTCGAGAGATCTTTTGCGCCGACTGCCGTGTTTCAAAGCAGTTTTGTCTTTCGATTGCCCCGGCGCCGCTGCGCCGTGAAAGTACGTAAAGCGAGCCTAGCGGACCTTCGTAATTATCGACGAGCAGTTTTTATTCGCGCTCCCTTTGCCCGGCCGTCAGAATTAAAACCGTCAATGCTCGCCACTTAACGTCGACCGACGGAAAAGCGCCGCGCCGACCGCTCTTTCACTCGGGTGTAAATTTAATGATACAGAGCTTCCATTTGTCGCGAGCGGCCCGGCTGAAATTGCATAAAGCGTCGAGTGATTTTTCTCGTAACGTCGACGAAGTAACTGTTCGAGCGAAAAGAAGAGGGAAAGAAAACTTGAATCGGTTTTGTTATCGACTGCCCGAGAGGAGATGAACGTTTCCCTTTATCTAAAGTGGCATTCATGGTATCACAGACGAGGTATACGAGTAGACCTATCGTTTTATGGACTTTTGCTTCTCATCTTTGAGTGCCATACGGATGCGAGAAATTAAGGCTGACTCGAGCATTCTCTGCTCATGAACAATGGTCGATTCAAGAACTACTTATGAGAGAATAAGAAGGATATGCTTGTACGAATATGTACAGAAGAATAAGTTCAGTACTATCGTGATTATGGTGTCATTTGAGTCACTCCAGAATCGTGTCTCATCGCGAATAGTGAAATTATATGGAGCATTGTCATTAGACTACGCTCAAACCTTTATACGCGCTTTCAAACATAGAGCGTCAGAGCTCCACGAAGCATGAGACAATAAAGTACCTAAGAAGTCTACTTGTACACTTAGCCTGGGGTGGAATACTGTTAAAAGCTACTAATTTCTCATACAATGAAAAAAGAAATTTAATGTGAATACTTATTGTCCATGCTCACAATAAGGTAGATTATCGTTGTATATAAAGACAAGTTCAACGTACATAATTTGATGTGTGAACAGAGTACAATTGAACAAACGATGGAGTCCGAGGATCTTGAAGATACGTTGATATTATGCGGAAGGGTGAATTGTTTAGCGGTGTGTGACTCTCATCCTGGCCTTTGGGGATGCAGTGTACCATTAAAGTCAGAGACAGATTGCGTGTATTCGAAAGGGCGCACAGACGAAAAGGGGTTGGCTCGACCGCTTCGAATATTGAACGACGACCCCCAGTCCGTATCGAGTTTTTCAGAGGACGAATTGTCCAATCGTTCGTCTCCTTCGGTAATTACGGCTTTTACGTAGAACCCGTTGCTGGAGGCGATCGCTTTCGAGCGGTCAGAGACCGAGCAGCAGCCATTCGGAAAAGCCAGCACGATCCGACGACGATTTAATTTTCGCACTCGGTACGCTGGTCAATTCGCAAACAGCGAACCGGGGCGGCGCGAAAAGCATCGGATTTCGTGGAAGAGTCAAAAATAGGACCCGCAACCCGTTGTAATTACGAGAGCAGGAAACTATCGACCGGTGGTCAACATCGGATTCCATTTTATTCCAATATCCTTGCGCGGATCGCGTTCTTCTTTTTCACATAACCGAACGTAACACCCTGTATAGAAACGTGACAACGAGTTATCGACCTATGCTCGTTGCCTTCCCTCTGTTCTCTTTTGACTTCCTCCTTTCACCCCTTCGTCCCGTTCTCCTTGCCTCTCTTGTCTCTGTTCCTCCACCCTCCGCGTCTCTCCGCGGTATTCGCGTAGCTGCCCGCCCGCAAATGCAATAAAAGGCGTCGAGTGTTTACTCGCACTGTTAAGTGGCACTCGGTATCATATTGTCGCAGGACAAGCATTCTCGTCTTCGCAACGTGATTGGATGCGCGCGTAACCCGTGACGCGCGACACCCTATAGCCGGCTGGAATTTTCGCGATTGTTGCATGGTAAAAAGCAAAGAAACGGTGGTGGAAATAGAGGAGTAAAAAGGAGCGATCGAATGGAAGAACGGTGTTGGATCGAATGGGAAAAGCGCAGTGGGTGCCTTCGTAATGAATAGCGATTTTCATTGAGATTAATTAGGCCAGCGCTATCGGTATTTGACGATCGTCGCCAGCTATGTGGAATATTTTGCCAATACTAAAACATTCTCCGTGTTTATACGGGTGATCGCATTACGCATTAATAATTGGTAGTTTAAGAGGGCTTGATTGATTTTGCTTAATTAAAACATTATTTCTTCATTCATTTCATGAATTCATCAACTGCAGGCG